TCCCAGAACCAGAACCAGTTCTTGAAGTCCAGACCCCACCTGACCCAATTCACCCACAGAATCCCAAGCCAACAACAACAGTCAGACCACGACGCACAGGAAAACCTCCACGCTGGCACCAGGATTATGTGGTGTACTAAACCTGACACTAAACTGGAACATTGAACTCTACACTCCACAGAACTGAACTCTAGATTGCTCACAAATCTGGACAATTTCAGGATTTTGGCACTTGAATAATCTCACATAATTTCAGACCTAAACAACCTTAACTGAACACACTTTCACAGCAGCATTCACAACATATGTTTTAATGCCAGAAAGCATTGCCATTTATTTACTGTTAACTATTGTTCATTGTTAATGTGTTTAACCAGTTTTGTTTGTTGACAGCTTAAAGGGGGGAGATGTCGTATGTCCATGCATTATGATACGTTCTGTGAGGGACACCAACTACACGTTCCATGAGTTACAGTGTGTATTAAAATGGCGGCGCCCATGCCACGAGTTCATGTGAAGACTCGGTGAGTTCGTTCCATTATTTACTGGTTTGAAAGGACCCATAAACACAACAGACTCTCGAAATATGAACTCATTGGTAGTATTGCTCATGCCTAAGTGAATATTGTAAACGTTCAACCAATAAAAAAGGGTGAAAGGGACCAGATTTGATATGACTCCAGAAAAGTGTTTAAAACCAGCCAGCCGGTGTTTTATCAACCATTTAAAACCTACCATATGACAGGTTCTTGACCAATAGGAATGGGTCAACTGTCTTTGGTATTTATGAATCAAGAATAATAATGGTATAAAGATTTGTGGAAAAAAAGGTAAAGATCCTTAAATTTTCCCCTCTGTTTCCGAAAATAATCTTTGCACACATTTCCAATTAAAAAATAGTGATTACAACAATTGAATTGTTTCAATTTTGTAATAAACAATTAAATGCATTCCCTCTGCTTGCATCAAAACACACAATCTGTATTTAACCAATTCCAAAAGTTAATTGGTTTTCACCCCCTTGGGACGCAAACATAGCCACATATATTCCACCGAGAACAAATCTACTAGCACACAATTACCTCATTGAACGACAAAGAAATTTGCAAAAGAAATTTGACTCATAAACTAAAAACCCTTTGGGTACTCGACGTACTGTAGTGAAATTCTCCTTTGAAAATCAGCGAAGCATTGGAAAACCAATGAATACATGGATTTTCAATTAAAGAATTGTCGTAAAAAGATATTACTTGTGTAGGTTTATGACGTGTACATTCAAACAGAGCACTGAACTCGTAACATATCGTTGATGACCTCTTGTTATTAAATCTGTAAAAAAAAAATCAGTTGTACTGGCTATCCCCCCACCCCTACCCCCACTGTCGTTTCCGTTAAGAGCTGAGATTACTTGTACACGAGTGCATTGCCTAATGAAGGGTGTCTAAATTGGTTTTAAAAAAAAGAAAGCACGGAGATAAGTGGGCATTGTGGAGCGAAGCAATTATCCACGACGTGATCAGACTCTTTTCAATTTTCATTTGAGCGGGGATATATCTGGGCTTTTGTTGCGTGAGTGAGAGTAAATTTGAAAGTCGTGGAAAATTTTTAACAATAGCACAGCACATTATGATGTGGTGTTATGATTCTCATTCAAATTCAGGCTTTTAGTTGCGACCGTGAGAAACTTGTGAATTTGAAAGGGATGGAACCTTTCAACATTAGTAGAAAACATTAAATATTGTATCAGGCCAAAAAAACCCGGTTCTGCTTCCGATTACATGGCATTCAAAAATAGGGTAGGTAGGTAGGTAATTTTTTTTTTTTCCAATTTTTATTTTGTGCGATCATATGGAGGCGTCTACGTGTAGTCAAGGGTAAAAGGTAGAAATTGATGGTTTTGGGTGTTATTTTCGCATTTTTCCAATAAAAAAATTAGGGTAGGGGCTGTCAGAATAGAGTAGGTAGGGAAACCGGAAGCAGAACTATTTTTTTGGCCTAATGACTCCTTTGAAGCTTGGGGTTTTTTGTTGTGAGGTGTTTTTGTTGTTGTGAGGGTGAAATGTCAACTTGAGAATCGTGGAAAATCCTCAACAATAGCACAAAATGTCATGATGTCGTATTATGATTCCCTTTTAAATTGGGGGCTTTTGTTGCGAGATTCAGAGACATGTGAATTTGAAAGTTGTGGGAATTTTTGACAGTAGCACCAAATTTTATGCTGGCATAAAATATCTAATTCCAAATTCTTGTACACCGTAGGTTGAAAAAGCTTTAACAATAACGCAAAACATTCAGATGTCATAATGTATTTCCTTTTAAATTCTGTCAAATTTTCTAAAGGAAATTTTTTTTTCCCGTAAAATGTCTTATTGCAAATTCTTACATTACACACCATGAGTTGAAAATGCTTCAATAATAGCACAAAACATTCAGATTCTTCATTATAATTCCTTTCAATTTCTGTCAAACTTTCTATAGAAAACAAATACAAAAAAGTGTGAAAAAACTTCAACAATAGTACAAAAGCCTTTGATGTCATATCCTTTTAGTTTCTTTCAAGCTTTCTGTAGAAAAACAGACAAAAAGTTCAGAGAAAGCTGCATTTTTTATTTCAAATTGCAGAATGATTGAGATTTCAATGTAATTTAGTATTAAATGTACTGATGTCTCTTCTTGAAAAAAAAAAAAACTACCACCATAGAAGATTTCTACAGAGAAAAAAAATAATTTGAACTAAAATTGTTGATTGTCCACAGTGGACAATACAACTGGCTTTTGCTCCTTTGATGACGTCAAGACACGTGATGATCAATGTCATCATGACGTCAGAGAATATGCATGAGATCAGTGTAGGGCCTCGGTCTGTGCAAAGTTTCATCAAATTTGAACTCTATTGAATGTCAAATGAGGGGTGAAAAAGTACAAGGTCTATGGGATTTGGAATAGAAGAACAAGAAGAAGAAGAAAACAAATCAGAAGCAAAACAATGGCTTTTCCGCAAAGTTGCAGAAAAGCCAAAACAATTTACCTGCTCAATTGATGCTCATTCAACCTTGCCTTGGCAGTATAGTGGAAGGAATGTGAAGAACAAACAAACTCGATCGGAAATATCTCGGAAGCTGCGGGCCAATAAATTCATGTTCATGCATGAGTCACATGATTGTGCCATGTAATTTCTGGAAGGAGTAGGTTTTTGACCGTAGTGACCCCATGATGACCTTTGACCGCAGTTTGGTCATGTGCCATATGTTGGGGCTGGGAACTGATACTTTGGACAAAGTGTGGTCGAAATTGGTCAAAATATGAAGGAGCAATAAACAATGTCAACGTTTGTTACTAACTAACTAAGGCCAAAAAAAAAAGTCTCCGGTTTCTGGTATGGAGCTTGCCCCAAAAGTGGTGGTGCGGGGATGCGTTTTTTTTGGGTTTTTTTTTAACCCTACTTTTTTTTTCCTTGAAATGTCGGCTGATGTTGCAGCTAAACAATTTAGTGCAAAATACCCCAAAATGTGTATCTCCCACATAAACTGAATCCGTTTTCCCTTGAGAACGAGAATATTATCTGTATTTCCCCCGAATACATGCGCATTCACTGCTTAAAAGATTACCCTTTTGAAATGTTCTCCCGTGACTTGCACTGCACTTTGTAGGAATCATGTAGGATTAAGAGAGATGTTTGGGGATTTCGTGATATTTGCACTTGCCTTAGGTCAGCTTTGTGAATTTAAAGGTAAATCAGATCATTTGCTTTTTTGATGCATTTTTTTCCCCATTTGAAGCAATAAAATTGTTCAAACTTTCAGTAGCTTGCATGACAGCTTACCTGATGGAGTTTAAAGATTAGTAGGTAACATTTGTTTTTGCTGTAATTTTCAAAAATGGATGGATTTGGGGGTGAGCTTTTTGTAGCAAATATTGCAACACTGACCTTTTTAGATTTTTGTTTTCATAGATGGTGGAAAAACCATCGATGAAAACAAAATCGGTCGGCTGACCGTCGTTGGAGAAATACTGACTTTACAGAAATACTGCCCCAATTTTACCAAATGTAGTTAGTCCACATTTTGTTTGCAATTGGTTACACATCCGTGATGGGTGCAAGCCAGCTAGTCTCTGGTTCCCTGACCTGACAACTCCACGACGTCTTTAAATTGCTCCGTTTCAACTGAAGTAGGGTTAGGGAACCAGACTACAAGAACAGCATTCTTTTCTTGGTTTTTCCAGCATCTATGAACACAAAACGTCAAACAAGTCAGCGTATCAATATTTGCTATAAAATCTAACCCCCAAATCCATCCACATCTGAAAATTACAGCAAAAGCAAATGTTGTATATTACCTTTAAATGAACTTAAACTATCTATTTTCCCAAAGTTTTAAAAGAAAATACCTTATCAGAGTTCAACCTTAACTTTTTTGTTCACTAGCCAGCCGGGCTACAGAAACAGACACTTAACTAGCCAGCGGGCATTTTCACTAGCCCACTTTTTTTTTTTAGCTCAAATACAAAATGCCGTATTTTTCAGGCTCAATTTAGAGGCAATTTTGTACGTATTTTAACAGATCTAATAATTGAAGCCTTTAAAACGATTAATAAATTGGAAACAAATTGATGAGGTTTGCTTTCTGAATTGAATGATTGATTTCTTCCTGTCCTTTCATCTTTGCCGTATCCCACTATTTTTTGACTCGCCAGCCGGGCTACTTAAGGAATAGTTTGACTAGCCCGTGGCTGTTTTGACTAGCATTTGGCTAGCTTATTTACTGGCATTTCTTGGTATTTCTTTATTTATTTTCACTTTTTCTCTTGCTAAACGTTCCTGTACCTCAGATACAGAGTCCCTTGGTTGAGAAGTTGTCTTTTTTTCGTGTTGAAATTGAAGATATACCCTCCCCAAACAAAATAATGAAAGATAAACTGTGTTAATGAACTTAAACTATCCCCAAACCAAAATCAAATTTCCAGACGTGTTAAAAGGAAATTCCTTATTGATATTCCAGTGCCAACACCGACGAGGAGTCATTCGTGCAGCTGCTCTTGTCCATGGCAACAATGGGTTTCGGTAAGTACCTCCCCCCGAAACGGAAAAAAAACACCCCAAAAACAAAATTCTCCCCTCGAGTTTGTCAACTTTATCCCCGGGAATTTGTTCTAAGGGGTAGACCGTTGGGAACTTGAATCGATGTTTTGCGGATGAGTGCCAAGATACAATCGCTAAAAACATCGGAGAGAAAGATGGGGGGGGGGGGGAGAGAAAGGAAAAAAAGTCTGTAATTAGACTTGATTAAGAGATACTGTGCTGGTCGTTGTGTTTGTTATCGTGGGGAATCAATACTTGGCCAGTGGGCTCTCACGAGGCACAAAATAACAAGACACAGAGTTGGTAAGCATGGGTGGGTCGGACAACGTCGGTGTTAAAGAGAGATGGTGGGCATGGATGGCGGGCGTTGTATCGACCAAAATAAGAGTTGCTCGAAGGTGAAATAGCTAGCCCTCCCACGCAATGATTCTTGAGGATATGTTAAACAATTTCCAGCAACTGTTTCTCTCATATACAGGGTGAGTCCAAAAAAAGTGGAACACAAACCCCCAAAATTTGATATTTAAAAAAATGTGTAGCACCAAACATAATAATGACTGGAAAGCCAATTTCATATTAAAGCTACTTTTAGATGAAAAAATTACTGAATTTGCTCAATCCGTTCATAGAATATCACCATTTAAACGCAATGACGCTAAAACCTCTTTCGTCCAAAAAAGCGATTTCAAGAATTGTCGTCACAATTGTCTTCAAACATCACCAGCGATAAAACCTCAGTTTAAAAGTTAACAATATTCAACAAAGTCCTTTTGAAGGCCCATCTCTTAAAAAATCATATTGTTTACCTAACCAGGGTTGTTAATAAAGATATTGTGTACTACAGTTGTTGACGGTTGTTGAACAAGTATTCTGTGTCATTTTCTTTGTTGTTCCAAACAGTCAAAACACACAATAAATTGCTGTTTTTGGAAGAGACAGGTTTTAGGGTCATTGCGTTTAAATGGTGATATTCTTTAACCGGATTGAGCAATTTCAGTAAATTTTTTTATCTAAAGGTAGCTTATGAAATTGGCTTTTAAGTCACTAATTTTTTTGGTGCTACATATTTTTTAAAGGTGAAATATATTTTTGGGGTTTGGGTTTCGCTTTTTTTTTACTCACCCTGTTTTTCTCTAATATACAGGGTGTCCCAAAATACCCTGAAATTTTTTTTGCGAGGCTCTAGCGTCGCCGCGGAAACACGTATCGCCATTATTTTAATATCATTTTAAAGCTTGGAATCTTAACTTTATCCCTGGTAAGTATTGGTTTGATTTTTTAAAAGATTTTTGAAATGATTCGTGTTCAAATAAGGCATGTCAAAAACAAATTCAACCGATTTCAGGGAAAATCAATTATGCACATTTTTGCAACTGTGGAAGTGGTTCATCATGTTCTTGATGTGACGAACTCGTTGCCTTTTACTTTCTGTGTTTCCTATTCTTTTCGATCCACGTAGACTACACCTTAAACAAATTCACAATATTAATCTTTGTTTCAAGTTCAATTTTGAAATTCACGTGCAAGGTATGTACCTATTCAAAAAGCGCGCTCAAAGTGTGACTCGAGTTTGCATCTGATGTACCGCATCATCGATTTTCCTTGAAATCGGTTGAGTTTGTTTTCGACATGCCTTTATTTGAACATGAATAATTCTAAAACTCTCTTAAATATCAAACCAATACTCGTCAGGGATGAAGGTCAGATTCCAAGCTTTCAAGTGGTATAAAAATAATGGCGGTACGTGTTTCTGCGCCGACGCTAGAGCCTCGCAAAAACAAGTTGCGGGTATTTTGGGACGCACTGTAGAGCTGATGTGGTTTGTTACTTTTTTTTGGATAGACGGATCTCAGCCTGTGATCACTGAACACTAGTGGTGGGTTTAAAACCCGGATTTTTGAATATTTGGTTTGAATTCCACTATTCAGTTTCGATTTTAGAAGGCCCTGGTGCTATACGATCTTTGCGCTATTTAGACCATATCATGCGTTATAGCAGTACAAAACTTGCCTTTGAAGTTGATGCAGTTTTGATGATTTTTTGCCATTGTTTTTAAGAACTTACAATGTTAATTTTCATTATTGACAATAATTTGACTTTTAAACCTTTGTTAGCCTCGAACAAACTGAAAAAAGCAGTGGATATGACACACTTTTGTGAGTTTTGTTTCTTCTTAAAGTTTTATCCTCCAATCGAATGACAAAGATCGACTTGGATGTTATATACATACGATCTTTGCGCTATACGATCTTTGCATTATGAATGTTTTGCATTCGTGCAATGGTGGGAATATTTTCATGAGTTGAAAGATGGAATATTCCATTCAACTCGGCTTCGCCTACTTTGAATGGAACATTCAATCTTTCAACTCCTGAAAATATTCTCACCATTGCACTCATAAACATTCATTATTTGTGTATTAATTAACCCCTGTGTGCTATGTGGCACGAAATCATTCCCAAATCTGATAGCTTTCTTCAGTGTTGTACACAATAATTTAAAAAATTCCATTTTCTTTTTCAGCCCGAGTTACCATGGCCTTTTCCTTCCTACGCAACCTTTTTTCAGCGTCTTTCCTGCTCTTGGTAGCGATACGAGTCCTCAGTGTAATTCACGTTACTTCTCTGGTAGCCAAACGGATTACAGAGCAGGTAAGGCATTGAAGAGATGAACTTCTAGGGCTGCGCAGAATATACAAAAAATCCGAATGTTGGATCATCCACCAAATATCCAAATAACTTTATTCCAAACAAAATATTTAATAAATGTGAGGCGTTCTCACATAATTAGATATCATGATTAAAGGGAAAATGCAACATTTGCAAACATCAAAAAACAAAATGATCAAATTATCACAAAATATCTTACTGGATTGCTATGGAATGACAATCCAAAGCATCCTGTCAAATCGTGGCTCCTGGTGTGCTGACATTTTCAAGAAAACTTGTATTTTTCCAACGCTGGTCGGCCGACCAGCGTTGGAGAAAACTGACTTGTTTTCAAAATGTGCTCCTAATTTTTTTGTATTTAGTTATTCCACATTTTCTTTGCAATTGATTACACACCTGTGAAGGGGTACAAGCCTTCTAGACTGATTCTCTGACCTTACAATCCCCAAAGTCTATAAATTGCTCTGTTTCACTTCACCTGGGGTCAGGAAACCAGACTACAAAAACATGATTGGTTTTCTTGGATTTTGCAGCTTCTTCAAACCCAAAACGTGAAGTAACTCAGTTAAACAATATTTGCTATAACATACTAATGCTCCAAATCCATTTATTTCTGAAAATTGCACCAAAAGCAAATGTTGTACATTCCCTTTAATTGGTTCTCTCACAGACGTTTCATTACCTTTCATTATACCGGAATCACCCATGTATAGTGGAATCCGGCGACCAGAATTAGAAGCTTTTACTGCGGTGGTGTCAGGCTCACGCGCATGTTCCACGCGTTCTTAAAGATGAGGCACACGCGCATTTTGGTATTCCTATTGGTCAAAGGAGCCCGGAGCCTGTGCGTACTATCTGAGCGCGACTCACAAGAGCCTGTTGCCACCGCAGAACATGCCATCGGATTTGTCTATAGATTTGGTTTTTTGCTTAAAGGTGGTTGGTTTGTGAAAAAGTGTGCTCACAGGCACACTTTTAAAAATTTGACGATAGTCTTTAAAAACTACAAGGATTACCCATCCACTGGGACCTCAACATCATGCACACGCTTTAATGAGCCTCATGTTTCAACTGCTGAATTTGGACTGATACAAGAGAGAATGAAAGTTGCAAAATCGGAAAAGGTAACTTTTTTTAATCAGAAGCACTGACAATGGAATCTGCTTACTGGACCAAAAAATGTTGCAAAGTTTTTCTCTATTTAAAGTTCTAAAAATGTTTAGTACCCACTAAGCTGAAACTTCAACAGGTTACTCAAAGCACAAAAAGCAAATGTGACCCGCTCCGCAAAAATGAGTCTGTTGTGGCAAAACTGACATTTTGAGTTAACTACATTAATAAAATGGGAATGAAATAAGCTTTCATTTGGTATATCATGGACCTCTCTAGGACATTTGGTTGCATTGTTGTGCTTGTTTCATTCTGTAAAGTTTTTGCAAAGCTAGAAGTGTCTCAATGGAGAAAAAAGGCTTTGAAAAATGACAAATACACTGTAACTAACCAAGAAAAGCACCAAAGATTCATAATTTTTTTTCTTTTTCTTACAATATTTACATTTCTGTGTAAGATATTTGAACTAAAACTATCAAACAACCAAAATAAAACAAAAACAAAAAAATCCAAATTTTGAGCAAATTTTTACTGTTTCCATTTCAAAATGGCAAAAGCTTGAATTCAAATTGTGCGACATCAGACTCATTTTTGCAGAGCGGGTCACAAATGATCCTATCATGGAGCTATAGCTCCATGATCCTATTTAATCACCACAACTTTACTTTACATGGATGTGTTTGTGCAATAACATTGCTCTTACTATTACTGTAAAGTGCCCCCTCTATGACAACAGGCACCCTGCCCCTAAGCCTTATTGATCCGTCTCATGTCGTACAGATTTTTCCTGGTAACTTGAACATTGCGCATTCATTAGTGCGCCAGACGCTCACGGTATTGACTTATTGTGTAACTCGGCTAGATCTACATCTGTCTGCCGCGTGATCTTGTTTTCTCCTTCAAAACTCTTTCTCTGGGAGCTTTATTTGATACCAACTGCATTCAATATAAACATAGATTTGTGTGGATTTTTGGGGGGTTACACATGAGTTGAATATAGACATGTCTTCATGTCACTGATACTTGGCTAGTATACAAATAATGAATGTTTATGAGTGCAATGGTAAGAATAATTTCATGAGGTGACAGATGGAATGTTCCATTCCATGAGCCGAAGCCGAGTGGAATGGAACATTCTATCTGTCACTGAATGAAATTATTCTTACCATTGCACAAATGAAACCGAGTGGAGTGGAACATTGCATCTGCTACCGAATGAAATTATTATTTCCATTGCAGCAATGTGACACATTCATTATTTGTTTTATACAACACCTGCATGTGAATTAATCCTCATCACCTGGTTGGTTAGAGCCGCCAGTATGACCATGCAGTGGAAGTGTTATTTACTGTGGAATTGAACTTCTGTTTTAACGGTGCGGCCGCGCTGTGCGTTGGGATGAATAATTAAATGACGTGATCAATGACCCACCAATCAGATGACGGGGATTTCTTCAGGCGTTGCATAAAACGCAATATCTGAACACCATTTACATGTATTTCCCACCATAGACAACTTCCGTGTTGGTCAGTCGTTGAAAATATGTTGAAAATATGTGATATTATGAGTCATTAAGTCTGAGAAAAATTGCAATTTTTGAAAGAAAATGCTAAGAAAATTTTCGGTACTCCTCATAAACCTTGTGCACAAGCCCCAAATTGTCTCCCCTGATGTGTGACAAAAAAATGGCAGCTATATGCCAATCAACAGCTTAGGCCCAAAAAAAGTCTCCGGTTTCTGGTCTGCGTGTGCGTTGCCGTAGCCATGCACGATGGCAAAATTAAAAAGTTTTTTTTCCAGTGTAAGATGATGTCTCTCCCTGGTTTGAGTGGAATCCTGCTGCTGCACAATTTTAACGTGTTTTTAGATGGGGTTACTATCGAGTATAAGCTTTATGTGGCCTCTCTGGGCTCCCACATATTTTGCACTGAATTTAGTTGGGCACCATTTGCAGACAGTATTGTAATTTTGTAATTGTGCGTCTGGAAGCCAGACTGAGGGAGCGATGGTCGTGTATCTGGAACCTGTAAACCTTTTCATTTAGCGCAAAAAAAGGAGCAGACTAATGACCAGCCTGGCTGCTCATGAACGATGTCGATGTTGCTGTATGGTCTGACGTTACCTTTTTCGCTGATTTTTGTCTTGACTATCCAAATTTCCCAAAGAATGTTCGTGTCGGTCGAGATCGTAAGAGGGTGCAGACTTCTCAAGCCTTATGGCCTAACTGAGGTCACCTCAAGCTGCACTCTGAAGCATATTTTTTGAGAGTTTTAAGGAGATTAAAGCATCATCTACAACATCAGCCGACTTTGAAGAAAAAAAAAAGTTGGGTAAAAAAAAATAAACGCGTCGCCGCACCACTTTGGGGGCAAGCTCCATACCAGAAACCGGAGACTTTCTTTTTTGGCCTTAGGCCGAATTTCTGCTCAAAACGACGTCACAACTTCTGAAGGCAGCTCCGATTGCCTGGCGTGTGGGTCGCATAAAATATACATGCACAGATTATTTCAGACGCTCACAGTGTGGCTCTGCACCTGAAAGTATGATCCTCAGACTAACCCCTCCCCTCCCCTGACAAAAATATTTACGCCAATTTTGTTCCAACCTCCAAGTGACCAAGGCCACCCTTTCAACATTACCCCAGAGACTTAATCCCCTCCAACCCAGTATCCCCACTTATACCAATACCATCCCCAATCAATTCTCTTCAATAATTGATGTCAAAGTTTAAGCAGTAACACCCCCTGTTCTTTGTGCAGTGCGTCCTGGCTTGCTGTCCAAAAATAACTGTCTGCTCGGAAAACGGCACGCATAGAAATCAATACAAATTGATCCCCAGTTAGACTGGTATTGATGATGCACGGGGAGATGCTGTGTGATCATTGTGGTCAGGGGTGGAAAAATACTTGATGAAATATTCATTAATTGGTTGTACAAGTAGGGGCCCTTGTCCTTACGTCCTGAGTCTTGTTTTGAAAGCTTTCAAATCCACTTAATGGTCGTTAAGAAGTGATTACTGCATTATATTGTACTTGTCAGGTTTTATGCATGTGTGAGAGATGTCATACAAAACTTCATGACTAATTAACCCTCCTATGCAAACATACATTCTGTGCCAAGTAGTCCTTTCAGTCAAACTTGAAGACTGAAATATTTAAGAATTCATAACCAACATAGAGCAGGATTGACTGGCTGGGACTGTTTATGTAACTTGATACAGCTATGCTTTGACTCTGGGTGATTGATAAGCCAGCTGTGCCCACAACTTGCCTGCTTTGTCTGTTCATGGTCTGTTGACTGAGTTTGACTAGTCCCAGTGCTTGCTTGCATTATGATCTGACTGTTGGTGACTAGCCTTTGTTAAAAGTATAGCAGGGGAAGTGGATGGAAATTTTGACTGTCTGTGACTGTTTAAATAGCAGGACGGTTAGCTAATCATTCACAGACCTGATGAAGTTTCAGATCAGTGAATGCTGTATATTCCGAGAAAACAATATTCTAGGATCTCATTTCAATTCAACAGTTGCCAAGTCATGTTTTGAATTGCGCCCGAAATCAGCCGTTTGGGGCACGTTCTCATTCAGCCGATTTATTTTAATAACCGAGAGTCCTGGGGTTTTTTTTTGGGGGGGGGGGAGGGGAGAGGAACATCACATGCCCTTTAATATGAAAATACCTTTTTTAAGGCCATAAACAGCAAAATACGCTATTCATTCTTTACCATATCAATGGCAATCATTAAGCATTGGGTTAAACATTTCCTGCGGTTCCTGTTTAGGCCGGCACATCCAGGAATGTTTTTACAAAGGGCCTAGGGGGTTAGGGTTTTTCAATGAAAACAATCAAGTGAATAAGTCAAAGTATGTTTGAG